CTAGTAGCGATGCACTTGTTCCTAGTAGCGATGCACTTGTTCCTAGTGGCGATGCACTTGTTCCTACTGTACCCTTTCGACTTCCGCTCACCTGGCCGTTCACAGCCACCAGCTTCTGCATCTGCAATTTCGTGCCCTCCAGCCGTTCCACGCGCTCCTGCCGGTCTCTGGGAGCATGAGCACCCGGTCTCTGTGTGTGGAGAGGAGTGCCGCTGGTAGCAGTCTGTGTGAGATGAGAAGCTTGCCAATGGTTCCTGCATTCTGGCATCTTCGACCGACAGTGTCGCACTACGCCAAGTCTTACAGAAAATGCGGATGCGGAGTCATGCGACCCTACTTGGAACATGCAACCCTCCGTGAGAAATCACCCGAATTCGATGCTTCCAAGGGCTTTTCAGTTGAGTTGTCCTTAGCGGTCCTTAATGGCTCGGATTGGGGTGCTCATAGCGGTGTTCGCCAACTTGCACACTTCCAAGCCGGTCATGGCCTCGGCGCCATCTGGAGCAGTCGCGGAAGAATCTGAGCTTATCAGCTTATCACTGGGTGTTATCAGTGATATATATATATATATATTTAGCAATATGTTCTGGAAAGAGTCTAACCTGCACCGCCCCAAAAAGTGCTCAAAGGAAAATGCATGACTTTGGTCGCATGATGTCGCAAGCAAACCTACATACTTGCATATCTACATACATGATCATACATGATGCAGAAGGGACCCTGTGGTCACAGACATTTTTCGTTGACGCTCCAGCCATCCATAAGTGGCCACCGAATCTCCTCGAGTGAAAACCGCCGTCCGGTGCCGCCCTCCTGGCCCTCCTCGCTCCGAGGACAACCGTGGTGCCAGGGTACTGCGAGGATCTTCAAATTCACCAAGCCGTCCACCAACCTGCCGGAACCAAAAGCACCGAATCGCCAGGGCTTTGAGTTTTTGAGAAAGAATCCTAAGTGGGTCAAAGTGGGCAGGGTGATGCAGGAAGACATTGGAAGATGCAACGAGGGAATGAAATTCCTTATGGTCCCAATTGATATCATTTCAATCTGGTCAGCCACCATGACTTTCCAAAGCTGTCCTTGCCTAGTCTTGGAGGGTTTCAACTCCGAGATGGCTACCTCGGGCTCGCCGCCCATGTTGGTCTCTTGGTCATCCAGGTCATCGAAGTCGAAATACCTTGGAGCTAAGAGGCAACTGGTGGTGATGGTGGGGTGTATGATCCACTCCCAAGCAGGTGAAATGAGAACAATTCGGGACTGAAAACGCAAAGACCTAGCAACACCGGCCCAAACCACCAGTTTGTTGAGTGATGTCATAGCAAAAAATACCCTTACTAAACATGATGACGCTGTCCCTGTCGGATCCTGTCGGGGCACAAGGACGCACCCTGTGACCAAAGCATCGCATCCTGCGCCTCGCCATGTTCCAGCGCCAGCTGAGCACCTCAAAGGACCGACTAATGCGATGGCATTGGGTCTATCCGGGTCTACCAGTAACCAGTGGATGATGATGGTTTGTAAAGGCCTTGTTCAACGATATAGTGATCATTGTTTACTGTAACAGATGCACCCAAAAGGACCCTACCTGGCAGCTATAATTAGTCTATAGTCTCCATCGGTCGCCTGGGATGCCGCTGGACCAATCCGATCGGTCCGGCCAGACCGCACACCCCCCGGGCTCGGGCCATGTCCCGTACCAACGACCGAAGACCCATCAAAGAGGTCGGTGGGCTGCTTCGAGGTACACTTGCTTTACTCCAAGCCTCAAAAAAGCCCCAACTACCAGTGGCCCACGGACTAACGAGGACAGTTCTCTTTCCAACCACCCCGCCACCGGCTCTACTCACCTCCCATGCGCCAGGCGTCACACTTGGCAGCCAGCGTTGCAGCTCTCAAAGCTTTGCAATCTCTTCCCGAAGATCTCCAGCGTTTCTGTCACCGAAGCCATCGGGAGCAGCAGATCTTTTCGGGGGACGTCTTCAACCAGCGGCGGTGCGTGCTGAAGAAGATGGTGATCAACTTTGAATGTGATTGCGGTTGGATGTGTTTGCTTGGAAGTTTCAATCTTTGCAATCTTGCTTGTTGAGAATTAGACTGATGTTGAGTTGTATTGAGATGATGGGATTTGGGTTGCTTGTGGTTGCTTCATGTATATAATTAGGTTCCTGTGGACAAGATTCATCCCGTAAAGGGTCCCTCCTGAGCCTTGTCCGTTTGACACTTCATGCATGTCATGTACTGCAACCTCACTTAGGAGCCAACGATGCCAAAGTTCGAACATAGCAGGTTGACGTCAGCACTCTGAGCTCTGCCTGACCGATGGGACCGCGGTGCTCACATGCGTTGACTTGGAGGGTCACGCATGGTGCTCACATGCTTGATCTTCGCCACATCCCAAGGCTCGAAGGGGCCAACACGTCTGCTCATTATCCAGCAGATTCAACAAATCCAACTGCCGCCTTTCCCGTTCCCGGATCTATTTTTGACCGTCCAGCATCAACGCCATCGGTTGGCTGCATGCCTTTGATGAAGCCTTTCTGTGAAACCAGCCTCCTCCAAACGACTTTTCTTTGGGGAGGGCTGCAGCCACTGGGCCACGGAAAATCAACACACATCACGTCTCAGACAACCTCAAACAGAAACATACCTAGTAAAGGTTGTATATGTCAAAAATGCGTCTACACTTATTGGTGAGCAAAAGCCCTCCATGGGCTCTTGGTTTACTCTCACCTAGATGTAGTCCGAGATCAACTGCTGCGTGTCACGGTCAAATGTGTCACTTGCCATGGGCTCGAGCACCTTAGGCATGTTTCTGGCTACGCCTAGGCAGCCAAGGTCTGCGCTCTTAGGATTTGCCCGGCTTTCCGCCGTTGCAAATGGAAGCCCTGCTCCTTCCATCGCTTGGTCAAGATCTCCTCCCACTCCTGGTGCTCAAGCTGAGCGGAGCAGCCAGGCTGCCAGAACACACATTCTGTCACAAAGAGGGTGTGGCTGTTAGGGCTGAGGCGCATCTGGAGGATGGACACCCTGAAAATCGGCTCTCGATTAAGCTCCATGAGTTGGTGAGTGAAATTGATTCCTTCAACTCTTCTGCGAGAAGTTTCTTTGCGAAACCGTCGTGGTGCTAGCCGCGTTCGGCTAAAAAACATCCTGTTTGATCCCGGACAAAGACCACCAGCCCAATGGCCACCCCTAACAAAGGATGCCTGCTTAAGCTCGCCAGTCGTATAGGGCAATGCTTCCTGAGCTGCAACATGCTACAACCCAGACAAAGTCCTGGTGAAACTGGTCAAAGAGTCAACATCATCATCCGCAACACCTCTGCACGTATCAATTGCTCTTGATCTCCCAGGGGGTTCGCCTTGAACAACCACCCGTGAACATTGAAAAGGAGTGAGGGTTCTGAATATGTTTTAATAGCTGAATTCCATTTCTCAAAATTTCTCACTAACAAATGCCACTCTGCCACACATGGCCAGCAGGAAGTCCAGTTCCCACAAATACAGAAAAGAGAACCAATATATCTATATATATATATATAAAGGCAAGGTAGATTCTTGGATTGTATGGCAACTTGACTTGACGAATCCCAAACAATCCAAAATGACATCCCCCAAACCTGTCTAAGACTGTATAGTTGACCCTCCCCAAGCCCTTCCCACCGCGCCAGTGGAGAACAGTGGCTGTGTTGTTCTCCATGGCCGCATCGACCACCACGCGGTTCAAACGTTGGCCCTCGCTGGCGTAGCGCAGCGCACGGCCATTTTGCTGGACTGCCGCCAGACACACATCCTGTGGGAGACGGGATGGGGCGGGATGGTGCAGGAATGGAAGAGCTGAGTTTTTTGGGGAAGTAGCTTAAGACCGGCATCACCTTCTTGACAATTACCTATCGAGGGCTTCAGCAGCACTCTAGAAGAATAGAAGGCATCTTGTTATTCTCTATATATGCTTCTCCTCTTCAACAGAGAGGGCCAACTGCACAGGCCCTGTGGATCACACACCTTTCATGCCTGGGAAACGATGGCCAGGACTGGGCTGAGAGCAATTATAAGGACTTGGCATGTTTCCTTGGGGGATGGGTCTTGCTCCAGCTCGTTCACCACCAAGTCAGTAGATCGTCCGGAAGTTCTGCGCCAAAGCCCAACACAACTACTATCTTCAAGGAAGCTTTGGTAGCACGCCACACCTCACGGCCACATACACCCCATGAAAAGGCATGTCCAACTGTATGCTGTACCACTGTATGCAAAATAACAACTGATGAATCTGGAGATCCTCGTTACATGCTCCAACCTTCACTGTCCGACCCTCTGCTTGCTTCCCAACCCAGCTCTCCTCATCATTCCTCAACTGCTCGGAGCAGTGTTGCAAGGCCTTGCCACTTTGCTTCACAGCAGCCAAGGCCTTGGAGACACACCCTGGTCACCCAAGTTCCAATTCCAGTCGAAAGTGAAGGTTCTTTCAATTTTCTTACATGCGCCAGTTGCTGCGCCTTGCTATGGATCACAGATGAGCACAGCATAGACGTCAGCAAGTTGAAACCACAACCGTGGTGTTATATCCTCTGTCGCTTCTGAGATCCCCGCCACTTCCTTGTCAGCAATGAGCGCCGTGGCCAAGCCTCGAGGCGAGCCAGTGGGCTCTCATGGAGTCGAATTCACAAATCAAGCGGCTGGGACCGGATAGGACTAGGTGGACAGAACAGCTTCTGCATGGACCACAAGAAACTAAAGGGTCACAGCTGGGAGGTTCACGGCTGCTAGGGGGCATCACTCAAGAATGAAGTTGAACAATCCGAAGGTTGGGCGATAGTTCCACACCAAAACCCCGCTGGCCATCAAAACCAAAGAGCTCAGCACTTGCCCGTCACAGGATACAGCGGCCAGCACCACCTCCTCCCCGTGATCGGTGTGAGAGAGAAGGAAAGAGTTCAGAGTGAGCACTGTGGCCCACAAATGCCCACAAATACTTCAAACACTGGTCTGGCCTAGGGCCTAGGCAAATGTTGCTTTGGATTAGAACATCTCGACTTGGCGGGTGCCTCAATTCGCCACAAGACTATTGGGGCCTGCACTGCCATGTGATGAACCACCCAAACTACCATGATAGAGACACATTGCAAAGTCGGACAACTCCTTACAAACTCCTACTCAGTTTATCACCCTGTGAGCTTCGCCCTCCCATCTTCTCCTTGTCTCGCTGTAGCTCCTCGGAAGCAAACATCAAAGCACTTCCATCGGCCTGCACAGCCTTCAGAACCACCTGCCAGGGGTAGAAAACAACAACGTCGCACAGCCACAGCACTCTAAGGGCACAAAACATCAAGAACTGCCTCTTGGACAAAAGGCGCTTCCCGCACAAACAAACGAAAAACACACTAGAACCTGGCTGACACCACCTGAGACGTGTCAAATGAATACTTCCTCCGAAAGAGGGTGTCAGCCGAATTCTCACGCCACAAAAATCCACGTCTTGCCTCCTTGTCTTGCTTCAGCGGTGGGGCCGCATGAGCCAGTGCCCGCCCATCCCGCACGACGGCCGCCTGAACCTTGAGAGTTGCCAACAGCTTCAATAGCTTTCTACTCCGCTTGGGGTACCCTGAGTCACATATTGTGGAGCCACCAAGAAAGCGTGACAGTCACCAATTCACCAATCACACAGCTAGTTCCACAAACAACTTATGCAGCACCTGTCACCTGTCACCTGGCAGCTGCTTGTGCCGCTACAGCCTGACACCAGCATGGCTCTCTGCCATCCAAGCCGCCGTTTCCTTGGAATACGGATCGTCCATGACCTCTGCAATGACACCGTGAGACGCAGCTCAGTAGGGTTGGATGGGGCTACCTGGGCCCCTGGTGAAGCACCTTGTGAGCTTTGAATGGCTCTTGGTGAGGCTCCCTAGTGATTCATGGATCGTTAAACTGTTCAACAAGTGGTGGCCACTATGAAGAAGTCGTCCCAAACATAGGAGATGCTCGGGTTGTACAATTTTTCTTGATTTCGTTCAGAGCCCCAGTACCAAGGAGATCGATCGATTTTGGGCATTACGGATAGAAGGACACTCGCAAATGGCTGGTGCCCCTTCCTGCCGCGCCTGTGCGGCAACTTTCCCCCAGAGCTTGGGGATGATGTCGGGCTTCATCAATTCGGCAAAGTCCTGGAGGCATGACATCCATGCTAGGCAGCTTGGGCACACACTCAGCACGTCCAGGCAATTTGGATCAAGGCCCCTGGTCAAGTCTTGTATGTTCAAGGTGCTGACCGGCTGCATGGGGGGAAATGTAGGGCGAAACTGATCCATCACCCCCAGAAAGACGAAACAATGAATCCACGTGAAACCCCCAACGGTCCTCTTCCACCTTCTCTTCAGCAGCCTGTGATGCCGTCTTCCCTTGTGGCGCTAGCCCCGGCGCTGCTAGCCCAATTGATGCCAGCGCTTGTGATGCCAGTCCCACTGATGTCGCCATCGCCAAACATCCAATTCAGTGGTTTGCTTTTGTTAGCTTCCTTCACATTGGACTGCCCCCAGCTGAAGTACAGATCTCGGGTTTTGCGGCCCAGGCTGAGAGATGCAAGAATGCCTTGAGGGCTGCAGACTCAAGTTTGGTTTGAACCTTGTTCTGCCAGCTTTCGAGGATGGTACAGTATCGGGTCTGTCTCACCTGTTGCTTGGACTCTGGCTTTGTCTTCTTCACAGGGGCTTGGCATGCTGTCCGTTTTTCTGCAGCTGCCAACTTCACAACTCAGCCACTTCAAAGCCTAAAACATCCAAAGCATCATCTGGATGCCGCGGAATTTGTTGGCAAGTTCTCATCATGTTGCTCATCTCTAGTTCTAACAAAGCTGGTCCAAAAACACGAACTGCATACTTGATTTCCTGGTTTCTGACATCACAAACCTGAGAGCTCGTTGATCAATCTGATGCTAGAAAACGCACATGCCTTTGTCCTTTAAGCTGCCCACTGCCCGTCTGAGAAAGCTACGTGTGAAACTGTAGATTGCACGAATGACCTAATGCCAACCGACTCCATGAGCACTAGCCTGCACAAGTAGCACATCCGGGCCCAAAAAGCCAACATCAGTCAATGCGAGGCCGGTCTCATTGGAAGACCTGCGGCAATGACCGATGAGGAATTGGCAACTGCAGTGGGGACCATGTTCATGACCGTGTGCAGCTAATCACACATATGTGCCACGCTCAAAAGGTGACATGATGGCCACAAACCCTTGCCGTGCCTCTGCGCAACGATGGCGGCGAAAGCAGGCCCTCCCTGCAGTGAAGGAGAGTTGACCTGTGCCGATGGGCCAACAAAATGCCCGCAAATGCTTGCAATCATCTTAGGACGGTAGAGCGCGCAAGGGAACTTGGAGATGCTCACTACGTGGCCTGCCTATTTTCCTGCGCAGAACAAGTTTCATATGGTGTCATGTGAACAGGTCGGCCGCGAAGCTTGCACCCCCATAGACCAGGAAATGGTTCCAGTCTAGCACCCCAGCCAGCCAGCAGCATCACTGTTCGCGACATCGTTGTGCTCATGCAATCTAATGGGTGCCACCGGCGCAATCTGCATCATTCACCCGCACCACACGAGGGAAGCCACTCAGAGAGATGTCACCATGCACACTGCGCCAAAACACGTCCAGTTCAGGGGCGCCTGGCCGTGAGTGGGCCAGCTTGAACTCGGTCTTACCATCAGCAAGCTCGAACTCTTGTCCGGCAAAGCGGTATGCAAAGCAGCCTTCAAACTTGTGAATGAAGGGCTTGCTCTCAAATGACTCCTTTGCCATCTTGTACAGCTCCTGCTTGGTGCACTGATTCAAAAGATGTTCACCGAGTCCCTGGTGCCTCTTCACGATGATGTCCCTCAGCTCCTCCTCCTGCATGGCACCAAAATCGCAGCGAGGATCCTGCATCTGGATGTGGAAGCTGACTTGATCGCCTCCTGCAACAAGGCCCTCACGTTGCTTTACCTCATAGAGCTTTGCGTATGTCATGTGAATGAGCTTTCCCATCTGCTCCTTGCCTAAGTTGGATGCAAAGTACTCTTCCATACCTTGGCGCAGCTTTGGTATGGAGTCACTTGCAAAAGCATCTAAGGATCCCAGCCCAGGAGGATTCACACGAACTTTAGGCACGGATTGAAGCTCGGCTACATCTTCAATTCCTTCTTTCCATAATCTCTCCGAATCCGTAGCCATGTCGATGAGCTTCCCCTGCCCAGCTCAGGGCGTTCATCTTTGTCAGTGCCACAGACGGCTCAGGCAGACCAGTGCCAATCGAAGCAATGCACTCCACGATCTTGTCGTCATAGCCCTTGGATGCACATTGAATCTCGGTGGCGGTCTTCACGCCCAGCGCTGCAGGGCAGTTGGCAACAACACCACCATCAACCATCTCAGCAATATGGTTTATGATTTCATTCGTCCCATTTGGATTTCGCCGTTCGAACACAAATTTCACGGAGGCTGAGTCAAAGACAGTGGGAGCTGCTGTGGTCCACCGGGCTGCTAACCACAGATTCGCGTGACAGAAGCTTGTTAAACTGGTGGTGCCAAGAAACGGCATAGGATAGTTTCCAACAATGCAGGTCTCATCCGCCTGCACATCGAATGACACACAAAAGGCAAAAGGCGGCCCTTCTCCACGATAATGGGTGGTGCTTCGGGCTTCGCCATACAAACCCCGCAATACCTTCTCAAATTGCTGTGTATCGCACATAGCCCCGCCAGTCACCATTCGAAGTGCCTTTCGTAGTGGATGGGCCGAGAAGATGTCTTTCGCAACCTCTTCCAACAGTGCCTCCAGGCGTGTCAAAGGGATTTGCGACATAATCGCCAAGGCGATCAGACCACCTGCCGACGTTCCGATCACGATGTCGAACATTGATGTGAGGGTCAAGGGCTCAACACACATCTTCAAGATGCTTCAGAACCAGGACCTCAATGATTCCTCGGACGCCACCACCGTCAAGCGAGAGAAGACGGAGGCCATTGTCGCCGTGTCCGGATTGAAACTGCCCCTCAGACTTCAACTTGCAGAAGGGACAAACAATTTCTGTGTTCTCAGGGCCGAGGAGCATCATGCGGGTGATAACGCATCTTCGACAAAGGGCATGCCGGCAAAGGTCATGTTTGAGGCGGACCTGCTCTGAATCCACACGAAGGCAAAGCCAACAAATACCATCTGAAGAGTCTGCCTGGGCTCGCAGCTGCTTTTCCTCGAACTCACCTGCACAAGGAAATGCATTGAGGTAAGCCAGCCCATCCTGAGATACACAGTCAACAAACTCTTGCTCCAACTCAGCGAGGACCCGAGCAACGACGAAGGAAGGTTCAAAAGGTCCTCTCCAAGTGCATGGTTTCCTATCCTTCCACAGGCCAAACGAAACCGCTCTCTTGACAAGGTTCTGACTCGGTACAGGGAGCATTGCCGGATTCCGGTGCCAGTCCAGGTGACCTGTGCAAAGCTGTGTGCAGGGATAGGCCTTCCCATCATCATGGGGAAGATGGGCCGAGCAAGGCTCTTGGCCCTTCAAAAGGCTGATCACCCGCTCGCATGTCACACGAAATGTTTGCTTGGAAAACTCAAGGTCTGCTCCATCACGTCGAGCCTCAGCTGCCTGGCTGTATGCATACCACCGCAAGACTTGCCTCAGTGTCTCTTGAAACTGGTGAGGATCCATTGGCTGATCTTTGCGAGCTTTGGCAGTGAGCATGTCGAAGGCCCACGGCGCATTGTCTGCAGCATCTCTGGACAATACGCAATCTCTTGACACGAAATGCGCCAAGCTGCTGCAAACGCTGGCAGTGGGGGCAGGCCTTCCAAATTGAGTCACCATGGGCTTGAAGCTGAACCAAAACTCCCGCTCCGAATAGAGCACCCCCTGCTCTTGTCGAAAATCTTGCACTTCCTGAACCATTCGCACGAGCTCATCGTGGAACTCGTTGACACTGGCCTCGAAGAGATGGCGCTGGGTGCTGTGGGCAAGGCGCAAGACGCTGACACTGGAAAAAATCCCTTCCAATCCTTCGAGCAACCACTCCAATTCCTTGCTGACGTTGAATGTAGCACGGTCAGACTCTCCCACCCACTTGTTCTGCACGAGAATCAATGCGGGCTTCCAGGCCAAAGAAGCGACTGCTTGGTGCGCCTGTTTTGCAAATCGTCTGATTCGGTCCGCCCTCTCCGTCCTGCGTGGCTCCACCGTGTCAATGAAGACCACCACGTCTGAGAGAAGGTAAGCCAATGGCGGAAGACGTTCTTTGATGACTGCTTGTCGCCGAGCGGTGGTGTTGGCCAACTGCTCCTTCAAGGCATCCTCTGTGAGGCCAGCCATCCGGAGGACATTGAGCTTTCGCATGCCCACTTCCAGCAATGTCTTCGGCACTCGACCATCCTCACCCTCCAAGTCGAACAACAGAACAGGCTTTGAGCGACTGGAACCTGAATGAATGGCCCCTTTGTGCACGCAAACGTGTGCTGAAGTGGGCACATGCTGGTCGGGACTGGCCACCACTGGCAAGATTCCATCCCTCGACTGCAAGAAAGTGCTCGCAAGGAAGCTCTTACCAGCCCCTGTTGGCCCCAGCAACCAAATGACAGGCATTGGATCTGTGCTGGAAGTCTGAATCAGTCGGCACAGAACACTTGTCGGCACATGCATTCGGTCGAGATCTTCACTGAGAGGATCGACGTCGACCTTCAAAACCGTGGATTCCTCCAAGCCTGAGACATCTGTGCGGTTGACCCTGTCACTGAGACCATAGAAGTGAATGTGGTCCTCGTTGGGCTGCTGGGGGGCCCTGCTTGGGACACTGCGCAATTTGCTGAGTAAGGTTCGTGAGGCGGCTTTGTCCGCCCCATCGTCGATCAAAGCATCGCAAAGGATATCGCGTGCTACATCCGAGAGGCTCGCCAAGTCTTTCACGTCGTAGTAGCGTAGCCGTGAGAATACGGCTTGGTGAGAACCAAGCCCATGCTCATGCAGTAATTCTTGAAGAGCTTCCATGGCACCAGAGGGAGTGAAGAAAAATGCAACAACTCCTGATGCGTGATAGGTTGCCTGCGCTGGCTGAGTTTGCCTGGCGTTTTTGGTTTTTGTGGAGGTTTAAATGTGGAATGCGAGCATTATGTGCAATTGGGACATACACATTTGCGTTCTTGTTTGCGCATTAGTTTGGTTTGGCATGCCGTGTCCGCTTTTCCGATTCAAGTGTCTGGGTGCGCTGCATCGGGGCAGGCTGTCTGACCGGGTGTTGATGTGGCGCATATAAAGTCAAACAAGCTGCTGGAGGTTGTCCTTCGATTTCATACACTTCTCTTCAGCTTTCACATGAAACGTTAAAAGGTCCCATCTCAGATGCCTAAAGCCTACAAATGCCTCAAGGAAACGGTGAGCACGTTGAGGCAAGCACCTCAGCGGTTGCACCAGCTCTGTCCTGAGGTGCTGTGAATGAAAACCGCTTTGGCATTGCATCTTTCTGCGCCATAGAATCTGCCCTCTGGCTTTTAACTATTTCCAAAAAGCCTCTCACTCTATTGATGAGACATGCCAGTGCACTTTCCCCTAGATATCTACGCACTATGTGAACCCGCATTCGGCATTCAAGTTCTTCCACTTCTTTTTGACGCTGCTACCGTACCCCACAAGGCTTCTCAAATCCGCACCAATCCCCAACGCCGCCTTGCCATCTTGACAGCCCATTTTGCCTGTGCCAGCTTCAAGACCGGGCGTGTATACCTTCAACCCAAAGAATTTTGGCTTAACCTGAGCTGCTCACTCCTGCAGGATGGGGGAAGAAATGCTGCAAGGGTGCCACTGCACCTGCTGGAAACCTAGATCATATGTTGCGTAACTCCCGATTCCGTTGGGCTGCGAATATAGCGACAGCTCTCAACCAAGGTCAGCAATGGAAAGCCGACTTCCGTAGCACACCAAAATCAAAAATCAGCACAAACGCCGTCCAAACAGCACCCATTTTCTCTGTTTGCCAACTCTGGTGCTTTCTAACCATCGATTTCATACGGCAAAAGCCCTGCATCAGGTCATGAAAGAAAAACTGAACCTCAGCCGCATCCACTAAACTGTCTGTTAAAACTAAAACTCCAGGGTCCAGGAAATCATTTCTTGCTGGCCCTCCTCGGAAAATGACCGCCGCAGGGCCGGAGGGGATTCTCAACCGCCAAGTCCGGCATGATCGAGGCAGTAGCCCTCAGAGCGTGAAACACGTGGCCGCCAAAATGGCCGTTCACCGTGGTCATGGCCCTTGAACAGCCAACCATATAGGAAAGTTGTTCCATGTTGTTCCTATGTTTCTGGTTCGACGTTGATTCCAAGCCCCAACCTGCTTTTGACAATACAACGCTCCAAAAATTCTTACACTCTCCAGTCGTTTGAAGCCCAACCATGCCAGGCACCAAGCACATCTGGCCATTGCACCCCCAGCAGCTTCGCTGCTTGGGGCCACCAAGAAACCATTGGTTGGCCATCATTCGCTGGCCCTGACTGGTCTGGGCCAGAACAACCCGGAGAGACCGGCGAAAACACCGTTCATGCCGTGGGCGCTCACAACTTGCAGCAGAGCAAGCGGCGGACCCTCGGGTGTCCGAAGTGATGGGGAAGTATCTAAGCAGAAAACTCTCGGTGGAGTTGGTAGCGGACTATGAAGCTTTCACGGTGCGAAGGTGCAGGTTCAACGGTAGGTTGAGGGGTGCAAAAGATTCGGCACTGCCAACTGCAAACAGCTGCTAGCTTTGTGTGTGTGTGTGTGATTCAACCTGAACCTGAGACATCCAACAAGCTGGAGAATATCAAGCAAATATATGAAGTGGCCATCGCGCCCAGGTCTGCCCGTAGCACCCCTACACCTTGGACTTGGCTTCCACAGAAAGTTCAAACAATCCTTTTTGCTGTCAACCTGATGCAAAATCCAAGCAACGTGTGCCAGATGCCGTCCATGGACATCTTCCTTAGCAGAGTATTAGGAGGTCAAACGACCAGGACAAGCAAGCGTACGCATGTGAGGGAAGCCGGAACATATAAATTCCTTGACCCTCCAAACAAACATGCGGCCATTTTTCCATGGCAAACGGGCACGTTCAAATGCCAACCTTCTACAGCACGCCACCAAGTCAATTTCTTTGGAAAGGAGGCGCTCAAACGAAACCCATGCCATCTCTAACCTCACAGACCCACACCAGGTTTCCAACGCCGTCTTCGTCTCAGGCAATATTTCAATACTCAACTGCGAGGGATGGTCCATTCCTTGTCTGTTCAACTCACCCCTTCGATCGTGAATTCGTACAATGAATGACCTTAACACTTCGCGCATAACACGGCGATCTCACCAAATTCGATTAATCGTAAGACACAGGACACATCCTGGGACGTGTATTCTCAAACAATTTCTACAAACCCAGGATCGTAATGTCTCTCAGCTATAAACCGTCACATTGCTAGATCTTACTAGTTCCCTCAAGCAAGAGCCCCCACGAGCAAAAACCTGAACCATCCTGAACTCACAAGGAATCATCTGGCGCAGAGATGCGCATCTCCGCCCCCAAACCAACCCGACACACAAGCCTTGAAAAAGCCAACCCCACCCCCCAAAAAAGTGTAACCCAACTAACAGAAAGACACTCCATCACCCCACCCCGTGACTCACTCCACGATCGACCCAGAACGACCAAAACAGGGCCAGGGTCTCAGCCGACACCGGCAGCTCGCTTTTGGGCGCCTGCAACTTGGGCGCCACCGCCTGCCTGGGGACGTTTCCGGGACGTCATATGACCGTGTCGCACGTGTCGGTCAGGTGTCGGATGTAAGTCAGGCCACGAAGTTTCATGGCATTTAAGGACTGAATATAGGGTGGAATGATGTGAATAGCGGGGATTTGAGAGTGGATAGCAGGGGATCGTTGATGTGAACATGAGGGCATCTGAGTAAACGATCTTCGACAACTTGCAGTTGATCCGAGTCTCTTGAAGCTCCGGGAGTTGCAAGAATGCTAAGGGTGCAAGATCTACTGCATAGTTGGAGATCCTTCACTTCTGCGCAAATAAAATTCGCATTCCGTACCCACACATGCAAGTGTATGCCCAAATTGGTTGGAAGTCGGAGCATGCTGAATCGTCCAAACCCCTATGCTGAAAGGTCCCATGATGTCCCATGTCCCAACATGAAGTGACCATTTCTGCCCCTGCGCTTTGCAGCTAAGAGGCCAAACCTCCAGGGGCTTGGGCCTGTAGGTGGCACCTCCTATGTTCGACCTGTTGGGGATGCAAACCCAGCCTAGGTGACACGGCAAAATCGATGCACTGGGGGCTCTGAACGCTGGGCTTTGTATCAGAAACAGTTGAGTTGATCCGAGTTTAGGCTTACAAAACACGCGTCAACTGCGTCAACGAACACAACCCAGGGTCTTGAGATGTTTAGAGAAGATCTACCAGACACGTGCGGTCCAAAATAGAATGTTAGACCTTCGTATCGCGAAAGTGCTGGTAAAGAGAGCTGAGCCAAGCTGCTAAAAATGACCGCCCGGTCACTGCTGCGGATGAAGGCCAAGGCAGGTTGGATCATGCCATTGGGATAAGCCTTCTTGTTGCCTGCCGGGTCGCACCACAAGGATGTTGGCGTGTAGTTGACATCTTTGTTGGCATAGTTGAGATAAAGAAGGCGCGGCAAGGATTCCAGGAAATGACACTTTGCCCGGACCCCGGCTGGCCAGTGTCAATGATTCATACAGCAACCCAGGCCAACAAAAAAAGAACGCAAATGCTAGTGTAATTCCTATATTGTATCTACAAAGCCCTGCTATCAGAATCTTGTGTTTTGGCGGAGTTCTTCCTTACAGAAATTCGGTGAGTGGTTTACAATGGCTTAACCATATTCGAACCCCCATTTTCTCACCCTGCGCCGCTCCCCCATTTTCTCACCCTGCGCCGCTCCTTTCGGCCCCACCTCCAAGGCCCCACTCCTTTCGGCCATGGCACTGTGCTCACTCACCACAGGTGCAAAGAGTGATTGATCTGCCAGATGCTTGGCCAAGGACACGTCCTGAAGTCCGTTCGCAGCATAGCGATTTGGGTGTCTTCAGAGGTGTGTCTTCAAGCAGGTGGGGAGAAGAACCCCCAATGGCCGCCTCTCAGACTGGCAAATATGGAATTGAAACCAATCGCCCCACATGGATGCAAACCTAAAGGCGTGATGGAAGGGGCCCTGTTACAAGCACTATGGCAGTCCAGCGTCTTGGGGTCCTGGTTGTGGACTCCAAGTTCGGTGAAAATAGTGGTTGACCCTGTCCAGTGGCCCAAAGTTCCATGTGGCCCAAAGCCAAAGCCCCAACGAAGTAAGGGCCAGCGGCCAGTCCTAACATTGCAAGAGCCCCTTGATTATGGCCAAACAGAATGGGCTAATATACTTAATATATATTATATATATATATGTATAATGTAAGTGAGTCTTCGCAGTGTGCCCTACGCACCCGATTCGATGAAATCGATGGCTGGCTGGGTTTCAAGACACTGGACACCGCACAGCCAAACAGGTCCAGGAGAACCGGTCCTGTGTCCCGATGATCTCATACTTGATCTCCCATTCCTCAGAACGGCCAGCATGGAACCTAAATGAACCTACTTACGGAGCAAAAGTAATTCATCTCAGGGAAATGGTCATGACGCAAAACCGTCGTCAGTGCGTCTCAATATCGTCAGAAATCTCAGGGGGGCAGTATGGAAAACAAACATCATGACAACAAAGGTTCTTCAGAGACCTCAACCTTTGGGACACTGCAACCAGGCCATTATCATTACCAAAAGCATCATACAAGCTTCACAGGTAGCACCGTAGCACCAACGAAAAATTGCCCGGCGCTAGATCATGCTAGATCTTCAACAACGTAACAACTCCAAATAAGGTTCCTTCTTTGCCTTGTCAGCTTCATCTTGGTGCTCAGCAGTGAGGCCATAGATGGCGACATTCTTCTTCGTCATCTCCCCCCTGAGCCCACCCCGCGAAAATTCCGCGAAAAGCTGATGCCAAGAAAAGAGATGTCAAGAAAGCCCCCTACCAATCTCTCTCACATGCAATGATCATCTCGAGTGGAATTGGTGTATCCCTATCCAACAATCTTGGACCTCTATGGTACATGGAGGTTGGGGACCATCGCATCAAGAACAATGAAACGAAACACGATGCTTGGCTTGCAAGCTGACAGCCCTCTCACGACGACCGCTGCCTGCGACAACCTTGCTTATTGGATCTTTGGTATAGTGGTCCCCAAATAGATAGAAAATGATAGAAGCGGTTTCCAATGTCTATGTCCGGGTCTAGAAAGCAGACTGCAGTCCCTTTCGCCCAAGAAGGTTCTTTCCCTTGGAGCTGGGCGAAGCTGTCTTTGCTGGGGGGTTGGTCGGGCTGGTTGGTACTTTTAAAACGCAAAGACATAGACGAGCTGCCCAGTCAAGTCATCTGACACGAACCCAACGCTATCCGATGCTGACAACCATGGCCGACAAAAATGGCTTTCTCGGGCTTCCGCTCGCGTCATGTCATTTGGCCAAGCCACAGGAATTGTTGCAAGTCCTGGAGGTAAACTTTGCAGAAGGGTCACCACTTGCCACGATAGATCACCAAGCCTCAGAGCAAATCGGCCGAATCCAGCGACCATGAAGAAGCACGATCTGCTGAACGGGATGAAGCAGAGGAGAGCTCAATCAGAACTTCACCAAAATGTTGACTTCAAGTGAACATCGAAATGTATCGAAATGTGTGTTTCTCTGGTGAGATGGTGGGAATCCAATCCACAAGAACTGATGTCCTTTTTTGTCCCAACATGGGCCAACACACCCCAACCATGACGTAAAGGAATTGTACGGTATACATATATACTTGCTAAATGACCTTGATACAAAGAAACTCGGCTTTGAGGGGGGAAATCTAATCAGTCTTGGTGGAGGGAACAAGGAATTGTACTGGAAATATCTTGAAGAAAATCCCAGGGACATAGCACCTCAGTGGATTTCAGCGCCTCCTCAAACCACTTCGGGGACCCTTTGGCCATGATCTCCTCTGGACACATGCGTTTCAGCTATCTCTCGGTCAAGAGCTTCAAGAATCCATATATATATATATATATAAACAATAATAAGCGTCAGCTAATAACTTTAGAGCCCAAATACGGAACATGATGCAACCAGGCACCAATATGTGAAACGAGTGGGCCCTTGGGGTTCCTACAGGGTAATGCAGCTTCTGCAGGGTTCGGGCAGGATCTGCTGTATATATCAACTGTCCCAGAAGGCAAAAGGAAAGTGTGGTGCTATAGCCAAAGGGAATGTAGGAGCGCATGCGCAGAAACAATTTAAACAAGCCCCTCCTGCAAGAACGACAGCGCGGGATATAAAGCTGGGAGCCGAATGGGGCCGACAGTTGCAAAGGCATGAAGACGAGACGTGAGGTGCATGATAGGAGCAAGGTCCTCACAGAAACCTCTAAGCCTGCCCTGCAAAAGCCACACACTGGGCAGGCCTTTTTCAAGCAGGCAGCTTCGCACAGAACCGACTGGTTTCTTCAGATTCTTCCTCCCTCGCCTCTTTCTGCAGCATGTGGCATACTGCAGGATCCTGGAGACAGGTGAATGAATCCCGCAGATTTCCAAGCTACATGGAGTGGATCGGGAGCTAAACGCCACCAACCTCAATGAATAGATTGAAATTGAAACATATTGAAACCGAGCACAAGTGGATGAATGGAATGCCAACTCCATCCAAAATCTAACCCAAAAAGGGTTCCGCAATTGGAAGGGAACGAAAAGGCACCTTGCAGTTGCAATGCTTTGTCACAAAGACTTGTTTCAAGATCTTCAAGGAGAGCCAACATGAAGCAGTCCTGCAGGTGCTGATGAAAGCAACAAAGCACTCAAATGGCAACGCTTCGGGGGGGACCTGGCTTTGCCAGGCTGTCACTTTCATGGCAAGCGAAGCACCCAGCTTCTCATTTTTCCCATGCTGGGCAATATTATAGGCCATGTTCGGGATTTGGATTAAGAAAGCAGTACTTGAGGATCGTATAATATCATATGCATATCAAACGCATTGCCGTTCCTGCTCGACCAAGGTGACGCCGTCGACTGTGCCAGCAGGCTGGGCAGGGCTTCGGCGGTGGTCATGGCCTTGGCAGGCTGGAGACTAGGACCCCCCCACTGAGAGTGTCACGCTAGGTGTCTCGGTGTCTCTTTTTGCCACATGGTGTGCAGCACATGATGGTGCGAAGCTCTATTCAGAACGAATCATTGCAACTCAATGGGTTGGATATCAACGTCTCAGACGTGATAGCCCTCCATCCGTTCAGATCCAACCCCCTGCGGACTCATACGGTGTCCACGGATGACAGGATTAGTATAAGCGTCCGGGTCGTGTATGGGATCTTCTGGAAAACTCTTCCCACACTCGAACCAACCTCCATCACAGGCACGCCCTCCAAAATGCGATATGCGATATCAGAAGCTTCCCAGAATCTTCCTCCCGCCAACTGCGCAGCATCCACCCGCACCCTGCGCAACCTCGCGTGGATTTGTTTGTTTCAACAGCATCCATCGCCGGCCCCGCATCCCACAGCAACGCCCTGGGTGTGCCGTGCACAATAAAAGTTTCACAACCGTGCTGCTCCGGCAGAAACCTGCGCGACACCATGGTGTTAAAAATTGATCTTTAGGTCCAGTTCCCCCTCCGGCGCCCGACATTCCAGGGAACCCTGCTGCTTCTCAAGGATGCTCCGTCATGTTTGTCGACCACGCAGCCACCTATTCAAGCTCATGTTCCAAATAGACACCACACGCTGGTGCTTGTAAGAAGGTCAACGGACGAAATCGCAACAAAGTCTTCATTCAAAGCGCTCCCAGCACGCTTTTCTTGGTCGTAGGACTGGTGGAAAGACAAGCGTTCCAAAACACTTCTGTAGTATCTGAATCCCGTCCCTCCAACCAATCTACCGCACCCATAAAGATGCTCTAAGACTCAAAACCACACCCTTATCTGCAATATTCTGCGGGGCCGTGCTCAAATAATTGTTTCAAAAGTTATATATTATATATATATAGTTATATAATCCATCCGGGACAAGAGTCCTAATAGCCTCCATCCAGGTCTCGCTCCAATGGCGTTGCAAACTAAAAGATCCGGTACTACCGGCGCAGCCATGCATTGCTGGAGCCTCCCAAAGGCCATTAGTGCCCAAAGTCATGGGCAATTGCCACCCTTCAGGGCTGCTCCAGCAATGGCATGGGGAAGTTTGGGCCAAGCTTAAAAAAATTACAAACTAGCTAAAGATCTGCCAGGACCTGCTTTTGGGAGCAGCAGGTTGCAACGCATCCCGAATTCACTCCATCAAGCATCAGTTCTTGAGAAAGAGGCTCACCCACAATGTAATCAGCCGATGTGGCCCGAGCCAAAATGTCATTCACCAAGATTGTCCCTGTGCCGGTCTCCACTTCATAAACACAGCCACTGGAGAATGTGAAAATGCTCATCACTTTCAAGGGTTCCCCCATCTTTCCTACAAGCTCTTCTCCACATTCAAGATCTCCTAGGCAAACAGGCACCATCTTACCATCACTTCGCTTCACTACCTCGTGGTTTGGAGTCGCTGAGAGTCGCTTCATGACGGAATCGGGCCCATGCACTGTACAGCTAACCATGACATGACCAGGATGCAAATGCGCCTCAACCGCATGCACCTCTGTCATCACAGGTTTCAAGCTCTCGTCCAAAGTCAGGATGGAGTCTCCAACTTGTAGCTCTTCGACCGTGCACACGGAACTGCTCCCATCAACCAAACGTGTGACGTTGCAGCTAGGTGCAAAGCAAGCCACCCCTCCAAGAATCTTGCTAACAGTCCATCCGTCCCGCATAAACCGCGATTGGGTCATGATTTTGGATGCCGTTTGCGCCCACTTCGTGCCTTTCTTGGCAGCAGCTGCCACCTGCGCTATGCTTGCAGTCGCAGCGTGCTGGCCCATCTTTCCAGCAAGATGCTGTGCCGACTTTCCAAGCAAATACTTGGCAGCATAGTCTGCTGCCAACATAGTCCCCATGCTTGCTGCCAATGCGACAATGCCGCCACCACATTTCATGGCACTGCAATGTTCAGTCGTCTTGTTCTTGCCCTTGTGCAGCACGACACCGACACCTATTGCTGTTGCAACACGCAACGTTTGCCCAGAGAAAACTCCACCCCAGCCTTGCCCAGGAAGGGAGTGTCCAACAGGAACCTGCCCTGCTGAAGCAGGGCGTGAGGGAACTGCGGCCGCGCGAATGCCTGAAGCTGGCCTTGCGGCAAAAGCCAAGCTCTTTGAAGATAGTATCCAAGCGCCAATGCACATAGCGACCAAGGTCGCAAGTCCCTTTGCCATGTGAAGAGTGGGAGTGTCTTCACACCGAACGGGGGAAATGGCACTCTTCTAGGGCCAGAACACTATTTTGGGAGTGCATCATTCTTGCTTGAGATGTTCATCAGCAAGCTTGGCGCCATTAGCGCGAGAAAGAAACATTACATTACATAGTCATTATATGACGGTTATTTGCACCAAGAGTTGGGACACAATCCTACCAGGGCAATGCCATCAAAACTTTCGAGGAGCCTTGGTTTCAGCCAGCCGGCCTTGCATTCAGCTGGCATTCAGCAAGAACTTCCAGCCTCAGCCATCAGAATGCTGAAGCTTGCTACATGGATTGCGTCATGACCTGGGAAGAAAGTTGTAGAGACGTGGGTGGAACGCTCAAATCTTAGCTAGCACCGCAGGTCCAGCTGCCGGACCAGAACGCAGCAGAGCTGCACATGTGAGCGCGCCCCTGGTTTGCATCTTGCATAACTCCTGCAAGCTCATTCTTTGAGGGCTCAGTATGACCGGGTTTTCTCTTCTTGGCATTTCTTGGCCTTCCGTGCAATTCTGCGGCTTTTCTCCAGCACCCTTGCTTTCAGAGTGTGTTTCGTGGTGGGTGTTGTGAGCTGCTCTAAGGGCAGCACTTGGTGTCAGCAGTGCACTACCAAGCACAATCCTGTAGCGAAGCTCAGAGTCACTCAGATTGCAACTGGCCATGGCAGGAACTGTCTGGGACATGCATGATCAATTTGATGAATGAAAATCCATCTATCTTTGATCAAAATCGCTGGCAAGTGGCTAAAGAAGGCTGCGCGTCCGGCACACTGTTGAACGAACAACTTTGCCACGTGCATCATGCATCTATCATCAGTACTGTTGACTGATGTCATGTCACTCAACACTGCCAGTCTGCCCGTTCTGTTGGCTTGCTAAAAACTCGTGCGCTACCACCACAAAGGCTTGTTGCAGCATGCTTGAGCGGTTAAAAAACATCATGTCACTTCGCTTGTTGTTTCAAGACATTCAGGGCCCAAAGGCAGAGAGTGCGGGCATTACTAATGCCATAAGCAGGGTGGCCCCCAGCAACAAAATCATATTCAAATTTGCACACAACTATTTTGTATAATGGAACATTGATGAATCTGCTGTACCCTCGGGTCTTGGATGTTCTTTCCACCTGTCGCTCATGGTAGTCTGGTTTGACAATGTATCATGGGGCTAATCCTTCTTAAGCACTGGGCGCCACCGCATATGAGACGATGCCATGAAGGCACACGAGCCCGCAATGGAATGCTGGCAATGCTGGGCCTGAAGGCCTAGGGCCTAGGCTTTCTCAACGAACACCATGGTGAAGAAGAGATCAGAGATCAGCACATCGGAGAGCGTGAACTCTGCCAGGAAGCTCGGCCAATCCTGCTTCAAGTACTCGAAAAGCCTCCTGAGCAAGGTCCCGAAGTCGACTCCCAGGGCATAGGAAGCCATCACCAGCAAAGGCATGAGGTAAAGGACCCAACCCCACAGGAAGTACCAAGCTAAAGAGGTGAACTTCATCTTCACGATGACCCCTAGGAGCAGAGTAGGCAGGAGCAAGAAGGCAATGAACCAGCCAATCACCTCTGCACTGGGCGAAGCGACAAAGGCAGCAGTCCCTGCTAAGGGGGATAGCCGCAGCATGCAACTCAGAGTCACCCACATCAGTGCATTCACTGCCTCCATGTTCTGGGGGTCTGAAGCCAAGAAGAAACCAATCCGGAAGAAGGTCCAAGCCAAACATACCTTTGCTGGGCTGCAGCCCTTTAAACACAAAAGTTGAAAAAAAGCAACTGTCTGAGTCTTCCTGGCTCAGGTGTGCTCATGTTGGTCAAACAAGAAAAAAATCCAGGCAGAATAGGACTGAATTCCTGCCATCAAGGAACCAATAGAGGCAAAAACTCCATGCCTGCCTTTGCCAACAGTCCAGAACCCACCGCCGACTTCATAGAATCTGTCACTGCCTTGCAAAAGCCGCTCCCACAATGCTCCAGCACTCCAAAATCAAGCAAGCCCACGTAGTCCGGAAGATTCAGCACCAGCATACCACACGCATAGCAAATACTTCCTTGGACTTGACTTATGACAACCTTTCAGTTGGTGAAGCAAGCTGATACTGAATTTGTGCCGTGGGAATGGATTAGGTCTAGGGAATATGGGACATGTAGGAGGCTCCAGCTCCGCACACTCGCTTGAATCCAAGTTTCCCAGAAAGCCTAACATCCTAGAGCATTTCAAAAACCTGACGGCCGAATGCTGTGGCCACCGCATCGCCACGCTTGAGCCTACCACATCCGAGAGCACCGCCAGCGTGAAGAACACGGCCCCAGCCACGCTGCAAGCTGCCCGCGCCGTCCGGGCGGAGTCGTACTGTTGAACGCAGGGTGCAAGAACCGAGCCGGAGTCGTGGTCGATCAATGCATCGGAGCCTATCCAAGAAGCCTAAGTTAAAGAGTATGATGCCTCTGCCGAGCGCACCCCTCCCGACACCCTAACCAAAGAAAAACCTGAAAACAATAGAAAACAAAAAAGTCATCGACCAAGAATAAGAAACAATCAAGGCGTTCAAGTCATCCCAAGCCGAGTGGGTGAAATTGTGCCACAAGCTTCGCTGCAGGCCCACCAGCAAACCCAAACAGCCCAGCAAAGCACACAGCCTCCTCCATTTGATTCGGGCCCCAAAGCCCGGGGTCTTGGCCTCCTCCTTTTCCAACAAGAAACGGCTGCTGAGCATCAACACGGAGACGCAGTCGGCTCGGATCATGTGTCCCCGATGGTCCTTGAACAGTTTAAAGGGCGCGGATGCTCTAAGGCACTAGAACACACCACAGTGAGACTCCCCTAAGCAGGCTTCTTTGTACCGTGTGACAAGAAAATCAAAAATAATGACGGAAAACGTCCAACGGACACCAGCTCACCATGGCGCAAACACATGGACGAAAAATGAACAGAACATGGGCCCATCTTTCTGGATTTGGTTTGTGGCTCTTACTTTGCTCCGATTGCTTTACAAGCATCGGTGGATGATGTGGTCGACGATGTTTCTGACCGCGGCGTTGTTGCTGGAGACGCAGCCCCCAAACGTCCCAAGAGAATCACTGCCATGGAGGAAAGACCCACGGTTGTGCAGGAAGAACATAGCAAGAACGGAAGCAAAGCGGAGTCCTCGGGAGCTCAGGATGCACGAACAATGGCCAGCATTCTTGGTTAGCCTTTGGACATCAAAATGAGCAATATAGTGAGACCCTCACTTCAGGTGTTCAGCAAGTCTAAGGCCAGCGTCTCAGTTTTGTGTGCACTGTGGCCAACAAGAGAACCTTGACAAGTGACCATGCAGCACTCGCCAACTAACTACCACCTGACTCCAATATAGCTGGTCCCTATCTATACTCTCACATCAGTGAGGGTCAGCTGAGATGTGGGAAGCTTGGGTCCCCATATAGAAAGGTATAGGGAACCTCAGCCCAGCATCAGTCAGAAGCCATCCCACCAGGCATTTAAGGATGATGTGGGAGGTGACCAGGCAGCCCAGCAGAAGCTGCAGCCACGTTTGCACGAAGATGCTGTCGGAGGAGAGCAAGTAAAACCATACACCGCTGAGAGTCCCACTGCACATGATCAGCCTAGCTTGGTTTTCAACGTGGCAAACTGCCTGATAAGAAATGGAATGGAATTCAAACATTTATATATATTGTTTAGACCTATTTAGAATTATTTTGTAAAAAGGGGAGCAACATGAGTAACATCCTGAAGGCAGTAGTGCAGAAGAGCAGCCATAGCAATATGGTTGAAGCATAGCCTGAATGGAAGTACGCGATCGCTAAGATCAATGCCGTCACCTCTTGTGTCAGGACGATGCCCAAAACCACCGAGTTGAGACTTCGATTTGCGCGTCCTTTGACCTTGCACAGCGATGCCGAAAACAGGATGGAACTCGTTGAAAGGCTCAGGGTAATCGTCATGGGGCCAATCCAGCTCAAGATAACTCTCATGCAGAAGACTGCTGAGGTGGAAGAAGCTACGACACCTGACAGAAAACCCAGATCGCTTGCATGCTGTTTCTGCCTCTCAAAGGATGTCGAGAATTCCCCCTGCCAGAAAACGAAGGCCAAGAAGGACGCAGCTGCACCAGCCTCAGTCAAAAGGAAGACCACCATGAACCTCCAAGCGGAAGAACATGGACTCTCCTCATCGATCTTGGGTGGGCGCAGACCTACTCGAAGCCGCACGTGCTGCAACAGCCGCAGCAATGAGACTGCGAAGAGCACTGCAGCACACATCACGAAGACCCAAAACCCTCGAGCACGGGCAGTCTCTACAATACGTATCGCCGCCGCAGTGTCAAAATTGCTGGTGTCCATAGTGTTCTCGATCTGGGCCAACTGGCCTGCCAAGGGGTTGAAGCGCATCCAAACCAGCCCACAGGTGGTAAGAAGGGCACACCCCATCCAAAGGCACCAATGGAAGTGTTTCTCTTCCTCAAGCCGATCTCTGTGGCAGAGACGTGCCCACAAACGAAGTCTGGGGAACCTCTGCCACCAGCAGTGCTTCTCCAAGAAGCCGCAGCTCCAACAAATCACAAGAGCGATCCCAAACAACGCTAGAGCGATGAGAAAATTCTCCAACAGCCCGGCATTCAGATCGTCCAAACGATCCTCACCACCAGCCCCTTGCGCGCAGGCACGCAGAAGCGTCAGTGTTCTGGGTGTGGCCAATGCAACTTCGTTGTATCCACTCCGCTGGCCAAGCGGTGTTTGTGGCACTTGATGCTGCCCAAGGGAGATGTTCTTCAAAGCACAAACCTCCGTGGAACAGTTGTCGCAGAACAGATCCCCACGCAGCTCCTGAAAAGGCAGAATCAGGCTCTGACTCTAGCAGCTAGCAGGAAACTGCTGGAAAGATGAAGTATATTACATATTCTTCCAAATCTGACCAATCCTTGCCACCTGACATGGTGGTGACTCAGAATGTTGTGATGCTGTGATGCATGTTTTCACTCCCAGAAGCTTCATTCCGTGTTGCTGTTCAGCCCACCCCCGCCAAAAAAAAAAGAAAAGCTCTACATCTACATGCTCACTGCTACCTATGTCCACAAGAAACTCAACTTCACTCCGCCTCACCAGACCACGAAGCATCACACTTCAAGTCCCCCTCCACGCCACAAGGCTTGCAACCGTGGACCCTGATGGCATCCATGAAGGCCGTCCTGAGGCCCATCGGACAAGTTCAATGGGATAACAAGAGCTGCGCCTGCGCAGCAGCTGCAGCTGTGGTGAGGTAACCGTTTTGAAAGCCCCATCGGACAAATTCAGTAGTTTGCACATGGAGGCACCTTGACCAGCTTGGGCAAAGGAAAGGCCAAATTTTTATCAAATACATAATCCTGGGGGGGCTTATATCTCATGGAATGGCGGTGAATCCATACAAATTCACGTCTTGTGATGTGTGCTTCATTAGCCCACCGGGCCCGGCAAAAAGAAGTGTGTGGTGTCGATCAGCGGATCTCTGTAGCGTGTGGGGCTGATCGTTTGGCCCTGACTCCCCGCCCGGATCCGACCCCGGTCCGGCTGTTGTTGGCAGCCAAGATTGGCTCATCGTCCGGATAGCTCTGCAAGCCACCCACCTAAAAAGGCTGCACGATTGATAGCCATGAGCACCATTGACAGTTGAACTAATTATATAATGATCGCGCACTTACTGTAGGTATTAACACATGGTAGCACTGTATAGCCTGTCAACCTACAGTGGGTGTTTCGACGATTGCATGCAGGCGAGGAGCACACTCATCACTGGAGGAGGCCAGGACAATACAAGTTCCAAAGGGCTCCAGGCAAGTACACCTTCTCACAGGGACCCAACGTGTCAGCCCACAGCTTGAGCAGTCATCCGCATTGCAGCCAGTGTACCTCACTGGCAGGTTCACTTGCAAATGGCCGAATACATCCTACCTGGTAAGCCAAATTCAACCTTTTGCCTGTCTATATACTCTAAAGCTTCATATTATGTGGCCCCCATCCTCCAACGAAAGCCCCCCGATTGCACTGCAAAAAGCCTTCCCAAGGCCATTAGGCCATTGTCCATTTCCATGTTAGTGACTTGGAGGATGCTGCTGCCATTCATGCAAACTAGCGGCAAGTGCCAGCCGTGCTCGTAACTGTGAAGCTTGAATGCTGGAGCTAGTGCTGGTTGATCACTCGCCATGCACTGTTCCTCAGGAACATTGGCAAAAGCCATGCTCTGCCCTGGAATGAAGCTGCAGCGCGGATTGGAAAACATGCTGGCCCACACACGGGCCGATGTTGACACGGGATCAGTACTAGGCAGCTGCTGAGCTTTCCTGGGCCCAACCCATGCGGTGCCAACGGCACCAGCCTTCTGACGAAGCTGTCTGACTTGAAATCGGGACCCAAGGGCAGCTTCTGGGCATGGAAATCCGACGCAAGATTGGTAGAAGTCGGAGCTTCCGCATTGGCAGTACCAAGCGAGTTGCACGTAGCCCGGTTTCGTCTTCTTCGGGGGCACGGTGGTCACTGAGGGATGGGGGGCGAAAGGCACCAAGGCACAGGATGAAGATCCACCACCACAAAAAATGATCGGGGTACGATTCAGTTGATCATTCATGAGCGGAAGGGATTTTTGCATGGCTTGTAGGGCCAAGGACTTCAATTCACTCTCTGAACCGATGAAGGCATGAGATTGAAAGGCCGTCAAATTGGCGCTTCCTTGGTTAGCGGCAGTCGCGGAGCACAACAAAAGAAAGCTTCCTGCTGAAGGTCAAATAATTGCACCACGAGGCATTTACTTCACCTGCATCTACTTGCGCATTCCCAACCCCATCCGGAGCAAGGCACATGTCACCTTCAACAAAAAATGGCAACAAGTATATGACATGTTGTATGAAGCTTCATGGACACTCCAAGCTTCCCATGCTCACGTTCAACACTTGAAGGATGATTCCGGCTGTGTGGTCGTTCGGCACGTAGGCCGACACGAAGAGTTCCTCCATGACTTGGCTGAATGTAAAGTTCACCAAGCTGAAGTTTGAAGCATTGACTGCCATCTTGTCCAGGCAGTCAATTTGAAAGTGAAGGTGGTCTTGCTTCATGATAACTCCAACTCGGGCTTTGGAAATATCTACCTCTGGGCAGGACATGTCGATGGTCGAGTATAGTTCTGCATCCTTGACATGAGTCGAATTCTGCGAGTAGAGCATGCCTACGTAGTGCATGCTGCGAGCCAGCATTGTCAGCAGTTCCTGACTAAAGCGCGCCCCACCAAGAAGAACCAATTGATCTGGACCGCTTCCCACTACACGTCTCCACTGATCATCCAACGGGAGGGCATTGTGTTTCCCTGTCCACGGAGCGCTTGCATCTGGAAAGGCTTGAATGCTGCCGTTTCTTGCCCTAGCATGGATCACGCAATTGGCATGCGCAATGACATAGCTTTCATTCGCTGGCGTGGTAGAGTGAACAAACTGCAGGGTTTGCAGCTCGTACGTCAAGTTGAGATCCGGCGGATGAAGAGACATGGTTTGTGGGACAGCCAGTTCTGACTGCAAGTTCTGGCTCACATAAGATTCAACAATCTTGCGGACACCATCCGACAAGTCGCTTTTCACATCTGCGAACAGCTTGACCAGCCAATCTGGATGACAACCCTTCACATCCGGTCCAGACTTCCATGACACCTCGGTCGTTGGCAGCAGGTGCAAGGTACCCCCCTGTGCCTTTTGGACACGAACTGAGCTGCTCACCAGGAGCACGCCGGTGATAGTGACTTCTTCATCGCATATTGTATCATGCCAACAAACGATGAAACATGTTCTAGATTCAATGTCCAAATGGCCAGGGACACTGAACTCAAACTCTGCTTCCAGGTGGAATCTGCCAATGTCCTCTTTGTTGGCAGGGGGCAGGATCACGGCCTGTGGTGCATGTGAATTCGGATGCTCGCACATGTGTGGTTCTCCTTGCGGATTGCCTCCCGGGGCCACTCGGACACAAACGTCTCGACGCGAGCGATAGGATTCCGAGTTGAAGTCCGAGTCTGCAAAGGCTTCACTGAACCACCCCGATTCCACTTCCTTGTGATGCACATCAGGAAAAGAAGCCGTGAGCACATAATGGATGACTTCAGATGCGAAGCTGCCGTCCCTCAAGGGGAGATCTTTGAGAAACTCTTGTGGCAAGAAGTACTGGAAGTCGTAAGCCCACGCCGGGGCGATCCACGCCAGCGGGACGATCAAGGGAAGAAAGCTTCTGCTGGCCATGCTAGCTAAAGGGCGTCTGCTTTCAACTGCTGTTTCACTACTTCATTCGGAACTTGGAACCCAAAGCCACTGGTTGATTATAGAACTCGCAATGCCACTGGAGAGAACGGAGAGAAATGAAAAGAGAGAAACTAGTAGAAATTACATAAAATGGCTGTCAGCTGTCATTGGAGAGGCTTGAGCGTTTATCCTCATTTTCGAAGAAGGCGCATGGCTCGCATGGCTTCACCCAAGCCTCCTTTGCGGCGGCCATCATGCGGCTTGGTACGCAGCCTCCAGCGAAAAAAGGTCGGGGCTACTGAAACACATCAAGGAAACATGTGCACTTTGCAGTGCTGCAGGCCTTGCATCTTTTTGCTCTTAGTCTTAATATGTCCTAATTCTTAATCCTGCTGTTGTCCTGTTGGCACCTTGGTAACCAGCGTTTGGCCGTCATCTCGTTAGCTTGGTGACCTTTGCAGGTCTCCCAAATGCCCACATGCGGGCAACAAGCCAAGCCGCCAACAAAGGCCGCCCAAAAACAAAAAATCAAAGTAACCAATTCCGTGGAAAACCTGGTCGTGTGCTTAGTTCCAACCGCTTTTCTTCACATCTTTTCACGTGATGTCAGTTCCAGTCACTTCAGGGTTTGGGATGTGTTGGGCTTGACGCAGCCGCATGCACATGCTCCCTCTGCACAGATGTGGGGATGCACCAAAAATTGGCCCAAAGTAGTAGGTTTCCTATCAACCAAAACATGCAAAACACCCGTCTCAAATGGAGACCCGTCAAGTCCAAGACGATGAACATCGATGAAAATATAAACAAGGGAATGGTCTGTGGAGCACTGCTCCAAAATGATTTTGGCCATGAGAATAGAGCTCTTGGGTTCGGTTTGGTTGGGTGCTAAACTTGGCCATACATGAATATCATGAATTCGTCCACCAGATGAAACAACCAAGCTTTTGGCGAAGTCAGCACCTCAGTACTCTTCGGCTTTGATTGTCTGAACCCTGAAACCTTCTGGTGCTCATCCAAGCCGGCAGCGAGCTGCTCATTGTGAACTCATCGTGCCAAGGAGCGTAGAGGAAATGGAGAAGTACCCACCTGGCCGTCAACCCAAAAGAACGATCCTCATTTTGTCGCATGCGGCCCGGCAGCCCTGAACCTGATATTGATGTGCAATATCGACACCACCTCACTAACAGATACTAACAGTGTGAGTCCCCTGGTGCTTTCGTTCGATGCATCTAGCCGCCCACGTAGGCAACACATGAAGAGAACGACGTCGTGATGTTGGCACGATCGGTCAGGCAAATAAGTCGGCATCAGAACCCCTGCAACCCCAATGTCCCCAATAGTCCAGTGGATTCATTTGGAATCTCTGTTTTTTTACAATTTTTGTTAAGGTGGCCCATTAGTTTGTCGATTGATCTGTTGCAGTTGGCGCTGTGATTGTCACATTTTCAAACACATCCTCAATGCCATCTCCGACTTGAACAGATTGGGGACACCAAAATGCCGTGATTCATCGAAGCCAAGGCGTTCTTCGTTTGTGCCTGTGGGTCATGCTCTCGCGAGAGCAGGGTGACCTCCAAGCCAGAACCTCAGTTGCTGCAATAGAAAAACATGCCGTGCCTTTGTCCAAGTCACCCCGTCATGTAACTATACATTACACATAATATGATTATAAGTGATTATATATGGTTTATACATGGATTGCTTCTTTGAGCACCCGAAACTGTGACGTGTGATGATCTGGACCTGGCCCTTTGTGAGGGTTGATTTTTTTCCCGTGTGCCATTGTAATTTTCAGAGGACTCTCAAAGGACTCCCCCAGAAGGGGCTTGACAATTCTACACTGGCCCCCACAACGCCTCCCGATTTCCAAACCGTAGCTCTGTCACGAGAACGGTTCTAAAGAGTCCATGCTCATCACATCTCCGACCACATCATCTTAGCCCGCCCCAGCCTTAGCTTCAGGTCGGGTCAAATCAACACTGCAGGATCTTCAAACGCCGCTGGCCAGAAGTCCCACCATAACGAGATAGGGTGGTAGATTTCAGTCAATTTTCCTGCTGGGTGTAAAATGTGCGCGGTCCCTTTCCTCCTTCATCGTTGCCCTTTTTTGTTTCATTTATCTCGGCGGTTTTTCTTCACGTGGCGCATATTTATTTCGCCCTGTTTTTTTTTTTTTTCCTCCCCCTCCTCTTGTTCATGTTTTGTGTTCTTCGCCCTTTCTTTGCTTCCTCGCCATATTTGAGCACGCCTCTCTAAATCGTCTAGCTGCGTCACCCATTCTCGGCTGAAAAACATCCACGCCTGCAATTTTTTGCGTTCAACTGAGCCCAGACTAGGTGCTCCCATGTGAGCTTACATGGGCGCTCACGCAAACATGTGTGAACAAATTGAAGGCCACAAGCCCTGACGAAGCCTCGGGTCAAAAAGAACTGACAGAATAGAACTGGTTGAAATTCGGGTACCTAAACCGGCTGGGTACCTTTGACGTCACCGTGAAGTCTGGCCATCTTCGTTGGAACTTACTTGACAAACTTGACAAATGCAACCCGAGGATACCCATGACCCCTGGCTACACACAAACTGTACGGGTGATTCGGCCACCATCCTGCTCCAGGTTCCTTTTGTGCCATGTCATCTTGTATACAACGAGTTGTTCACTGCGCATTGTGTAGGTCCCTGTGCTACACCCAGGGGTGCCCTCAAGTGATACAAGTACGTGAAGGAGGAAAAATTAGGGAGGGAGAGAAAGAGGGGGGAGATGCTGCGACGTGCGAACAGGGCAAGTAACGGCAAGTAGCTTGGAGGCCATCGCTCTTAGGCTGGAGGCTGTCACATCTAGGCGGGGGGTCATCGCAACAGGTGGAAGCCATCGCTTACATACGAGGTGTAAGTTGGAAGCCACCGCCATTAGGTTTGAGGCCGTTGCATCAGGATGGGGGGCCTGCGCACCCGGACAGGGGATCATCGGCGCACACAGATCAGGATCATCTGCGCAAACAGATCTGGATCATCTGTGCACACGTGGGGCTAATATTTAATATCCCAATGTTGAAGTAAAGGTGCGGTGGTGGGGTGGGGTTGGGGTGGGGAGGGGTGGGGCTCACACACATCTGAGCACCTTGGATCAACACCCGGCCACTACACTGTTTAGGCACCCCGCATACGGAGACCGCGTGTGCACACGACCCCCACGTGTACTGACGATCCCCGTCACCGCGTGTACAAACGAACCCTTGTCCTGCGCAACAGGTTGGGGGCGATCGCTACAAAGTTAGTTGCGTACAAAACTCAACGCACTTGTGTGAACTTGTGTGAACTCCTGCGTGCAAACTTTCTATGACCACCAGTACCCCCATACTTTCCATGGTCGAAGTGCAAAACCCGATTTGGACAATTCCGTGAACGCGGCGCACCGCGTGTCCGCCTCACGAAGGGTGGGGCTTGAGCTGTTGGATTTCAGGAACGGATGGTCCGATGGAACTTCGCGGAACAAGTGGCTCAAGGCATGTATAGGATCTGCGTCCTCCACCTTTGGTGGAAGTCCCGACGCAACCTCGGGCCCATGAAGTGTCTTTGTTGCGATGCTCCCTGCAGAGCCCATCGCTCCAACCTCTGGCGACAAATCCCTCGAGAGGAAGGGGCCCTTGATCCGAAAGGTTCATAGTTTCCATTCCGACGCCTCCGTGCCACCTCTGCGCCCAAGCGTTGGGGACAGGGGAGCGCTTACCCAAGGGTATGCCGTGCTGAAAACCCAATCGGGTCAGGAGAATATTCCACCATACCCCCACCAAAAAATTTCGCGTGCAGCTTCAAAAACTGAGACCAACACAGGGTGGGCACTGACGCTCTACCAGCAAAACATGAAATGACGCAAACACCGGTTTGCACCTAGCGTGGGCCAAACCAAGCTCCTCTGAGTTCAAAAATTTCGCCGGTGCGCGCGAGCGCGCGCGCGCCAACAAAGCTGTCTACCTGCATCGTGCTTGGGCCCGGGCGGCGGCAAGGTGGCGAATCCTGCACACCAAGGATTACGGGCGCTGGCATCAGCGAATAACTACCCTGCCCCTTGTGCGGTCAAAACCTGCACACAGGTCCGGCAATGCAAATTTGTGTCGGCCCCCCAAAAGTGACTTGAGAGGAGGGAGACACGAAAGATAGGACAGCGGGAAGAAAAAAGAACGCGAGAGGCAGGAACAAAAATCACCATGGTGATTTATCCCCTCGGAGGCGACCTTTCGTAAATATATGTTCATATGATTCATATGCATTCTAAGTGTTCAAACATATGCTATCGAAATGTTCAAAATAGATTCTTAGGAAAACAAACTTGCCCCATGGCTCAGAGCATTGAATCGGAGCGAGAATTGAATTTAGAAGGGGAGTGGGTCTGTATTGAAAAATCAATTCCAAGGGGGCGGGGGGGGGGGTCTGTATTGAGAAATCAATTC